CTCACTTCGAGCGCCTGGCACCGTCTGTTAGGGCGACGGCGAATGCCTTACGACGTTTTCTGCCTGGGCTAGGCGGGCCTGACGTCGGAGTGCGCTGGTTGTACGCCGGCGTTGTACGATCGAACGGCGTGGTACGATCGAGGCTCCTCTACGGAGCTCTGATCTGGGCGGAGGACTTGATGACCAATCGTCGCAGTCTCCTAGTGGTCAGGAGGATGCACAGGACGGTGGCCATCAGGGTAGCGAGGGTCTTCCGCACCATTTCTGCGGCAGCAGCGGCGGTGCTCGCCGGATTTTCCCCCTTCGAATTGCAGGCCCTGACGTGTGGTGGGATTTATCTCCACACTCGGGATTAGGGTCCTGGAGGCCGTCCTTCCAAACTGGGACGTTTGGTTGAAAAGCAGCGGGTCTCCCCTGACCAAGCTCATTATCACAACTGTCGAACAATTACAATCGAATTGAATAACTACAATTGTTTAATTACAGCTATAGTAAACTCTAGATTACAATGTTGCGGGATTAGCCAAAATTCCAAAGGCTCCGGTGTTCTTTTATCTCCGACACATATATGTAGCGTCACTCGACAACGAAACTTTCTAACGGTTTCGTCAATACAAAATATATCATCGAAGCGTAAGGCCGATAAGCCTAATGAGCTGTCACGTAAAGTTGATACTTGGATTGTAGTAAGAAAGCTGAGTCGTAACCCAACTACTAATTTTCCTTTATAAAACTTTCTTATAAATTTTAACACTTACAAGAATAACACTGAACCGGAGAAAAGGGGTTGTACGAAACCGCGAATAGAACAAGAACAAGAACTGCTCGAACTGGGTGAAGTCTCGATTTATATACGTTTTGGTTTTAGGATGTTGAGGAGCTAGATGTAGGTTGAGATGTGGAAAAGTGTCCGAAGGTCGGGGATCGATATCCTATCTCTGATGTGGACTAAGGTGCGTCACAGCCTTGATGTATGCTATGATGATAAGGTGGTGATGCGTCCAAAGGAGTCCGAAGGTCGGCGGTCGATGTCTTATCACTGATGTAGGTTGAGATGTGATTGATGTCACAGAGCCATCGATATCCCTACAGTCCTTCCGTCGAATATTTCGAAGAAGGTGTATGTGGTAACGGTCGCGGACACCTAACGAACGCGTGCGTAATGGGGATATTGAAGCGCGACAGAAAGAAACGAATCAGATCAAGAAAACAGTCGAGTTGTAACCGAGATGTGTGAATAGTCAGTTGGAATCGAGAATTGTAAGGAAAGTGTCGAAAGCGAGAATTAATATACTGTTGAACACCGCCGAGTATTTCTTTAGCATCCTACACCAAACACCACCTCATATACGGGGTGGTTGGTAACTGGCGATACAGGCGGAAAGGGAGTGATTCTACGCGAAAAAAGAAGTCGAAAATATACAGTAAAAATTTTTCGTTTGAGACTTTGTTTTCGAGAAAATCGACTTTGAATTCTCGCCCGGTACGCGTGCGGTACGTTATAAGGGATCTCACTGTAGATTGTTGTCTCGATGGAAAATTTAAAAAAAAACAAAAAGAATTTTTTATTCTATATTTTCGACTTCCCTTTTCGCGTAGAATCACCCCCTTTCCGCTTGTACCACCAGTTACCAACCACCCTGTATATATTATACTTACACGATATTTTCAATATATATGTCGGATTTGGATTGGAAGTGTGGGCGTCTGAAGAACTTCCTCTCGAATTTGCCATGGTAGTCACACTAAAGGTTTATTGATACAATCAGTTACGATATACAGATTACAAATATTCGCGGCGATCGGATGGTCTAGATATTGATGACAATTCAGGTCAGATCGAATTTAGGTTCCATAACGGATGAATCTTTGAATTTTCCAAAAGAAAGAAAGATTAATCGACTTCCATCACTACCACGTACATAATCTCATTTTCAGCGGTTTTATTACAGGCATTAATTATTTTTGTTTTAAACATAGCGAGGCTATTTTGTGTAATATTACGTCAAAACCTTGGATTAAAATTTAACGATCAATCGCGATATCATATTTTAAATAACTATCAGCGAGGACATGAAGAATTTATTTCTAACGTAAAACTATTAACACCGGCAACGGACAAGATTTGAGATGTACGTTTAGTACAAATATTTCTTATCCTCGCATTACGACTATATCAATCGTTCTTTTGACTGAAAATCTCAAGACTTTTTTTTATCAACGTGGAGGAAATCCGCACGGACACCAGGTCGCTTCTGGAGAAAAGCGGCGTGGTAGTGCCGGACTCCAACCGACTAAAATCTCCACGATGATCGTCCCGGCTGCGATCGAGAAGGGCCCGGGAACCGGTGTGAACGATACCCCCCCCCCCCCGCC